CCGCTGTTACTGGAGAAGAGCCCAGTACAAGGGTCCTGATACAAATATGCCCAGATTACAAAGCAGAGAAGATGCAGATTTTGTATACTGGCCTAAAATCTGCCTTGTACCAAGAAAAGGTTTCACTGAGCAAAAAGCTGTAGAAAGTAAAGCTTAGAAGAGAAATTCTCCCCTCTGACAGAATGTATGAATTTTTGAAAATCCTCAAATGGAAAATTTTACCCCAAAGCTAAATATTTGTATTTCTTAAAAAAAAAAAAAAACCTTTTTAAAATGAAATTTTCCATAAAGGCACTCATTCCGTATAGAAAACGTCTGTGTGTGGGTGTCAAAAAAAAGCCAAAATATCTCAACAAATATTTTGCCAAGGAACAGTAACTTTGATGCAAAAATTTGAAGAGGGACTGTCCAACACAAAATAGGGTATGGGTCTGGAAAAGACTTTGAGAATTATAAAAACGTCCTGTCGGTTATTGGTACACAGAACCATTTTACATAATCTTTTTCACAAGGTTGACCAGATTTTATCTCAAAAAATAAATACTTTTTCTTGCCTTCACTATAAAATACTCATCTAGAACAGTTACCTGGCCAGCAATTCCTACATTTCCTCTCATCAAGGTCAATCCACTTGCTTTTCTGCCAAATTTAGTCTAGCTGGGTCCATTCTTTGGTGACATTCCATCCTAGTTGATGTCTTCCCAGGGGACAGCTTATCTCTGATACACCTAGATGTTCATTCCTACCTCTGCACCTGTTGAACTCACCACCCTCGAGTGGGGATTGCTAAACCTCCACACGATGCTCCAGGTGAGACATGACCAGTCCCCTGTGCTTTATTTAGTATCATTACTTTTCTAACTCTACAGCAAATCTCTCTGCTGTGTGTCCTTAGGCTGTATTTCCTTTCCACAGCAATGCCATGCTCATACTCATGTTTGCCATGTACCAATGAGTCCACACAGATTTTCTGTTGTTGCTCTTTAGTTTATCTCTAGTGAAAATCCTTGTTCGTAGTTCTTCAGCACATGACCATCTACTCTGCACTATCAAATTTACACTTTTTTTTTTGTACTTCATTTTCAGTTGATCCGGTTCTGTGAGATACCCAGACCATGCTTGTTACTGAGAACATTTGAGTCATTAGCAAATTTTAGATTTTTTTTTCAAAATGAAAATAATTACTGAAAATATCAAAAGAGGACCCCAGCCTTGTCTGAGGTCTTCACTGTTATCTTCCTTTTATCCTCCTGTTTACATTTCAACGTGGGCTGTCAAGTCCATTTAACCCCATTTTTAAACACATAATAAATGTTGCACTAAGCCTCATCATTTTAATTTTAACTAGTAATTTCTGTGGCAATACATATGTAGGTATAGTCTACCTAGGGTAAAAATGACCCCAGGTAGACCTAGGTGACCCTTGTGCCATATCCAAACTGAAATCTTCCCTACTACAGACATCTCCTTAATTAAACCTTTTAAAAGTCCAGAGCTCAGCATACATAAGAAAAAAATAATTATTTTACATTATTTCATATAATTTCTTCATATTTCTATTCCGCAGAGATACATTTTGGGATAGCTAAACTATTTTTAAATTGAAGAAATATCATTACAAATCACTGTTAGTTTTCACACACTGTGTGGGAATTTCTGGCAGCTGCATACCCTCACTTTTCTGGTCAGGAATATGCACTTTTTGGATGTATTTAGTACGTTGCCATTAGTAGCAGTTTTGCAGACCATTAGAAAAAAAGGAACAGTTTTGGAAGCAATTAGTGCAGCAGACACTGTCTTAGCTATAGCCCCTTCTTTGTGCCTCAAGACAGTATGGAAGAGAAAGGAAAGGGTGAGATGGCACTTAGGGATGGCCTGTGCTCATGTACAGCATTGCTTCTCTGTCTAAGAAACAAGTACAGAGTTCAGGAAGATTATGTAGACAAAGGATGACCTCTAATGACTGCAAAACTTCAAAACAAGTAGGAGGATTTCACTGAACATCTGCTGGAGCTGCAAATGAAGTCTATTGATGAGAGTTTCTCTTGTTTACTCAAAGGAAGCGTATCATCCTCACCTCTGACTTTAACTCCTTGGACTTTTGCTGCAGATGGGTCAACTGTTGCACTTGTCCAACTGGAGCGCTGGGTTTCTCCCTAGGACAGTATTGTAGGCACCAGGAGCTGCGGGAAGATTTGAATTCCCATTTGCATTAGTAGGACACATTTCGTTTGCCCTAACTCTGGCCTGGAACATACAAAAGGCCCCTTCACTGTTGTGCCCCAGTCTGATCACTGGAACAGGCTCCATAAGCTCACCCGTGTTAACAGTTCAGAGAAATTGCTGATGCTAAAATTTAGGGGAATTTTCATCCAGTTTCTCTAACTGGATGGGTATATAGGGTACAATATACCATATACAATATCTAATATAGGGTACAAACATGAACATTAAAGGCACAAACAAAAATCCCCTTTTTCTTGGAAACCCTCTTTTTGTTTCCATAGCTGATTAAAACTTTCCCTAGACATTTAGACTGCAGGGGAAAAAAAAAAGCCTAAAAAGCCTAACCTAATGCAGGACGACAGTACAGTGTTCATTTGGGAGATTAAGATTATAAAGTTAGTGTGAAGAGCAATCCTTCTGTGCTTAGTGCATTCTGCACAAAGTCAGAGAAAAAAATATCTCTGAGGTCTAGAAAACTAGACTAGAAACTCATAAAATAACTTGAGCAGGTCAAGAGATAGCCACTCCTGAAAGAGACACTTCTAAGTCTAAGATGATTTGTGCACACGCCTTAAGTAAAATCCTTGCAAGTTTTTACACACTGTTCGGAGATTTCTGGCAACTGTATGTTAGACATTGTGTAAACAGTAAATGTTAGATGATTGAAGAAAAGAAAAACTTCTAAACAATGAAAGCAAGGCTTTTTTTTTTTTTACTTAAAATGTATGACAAGAACATGATTTATGGAGGAAATACAGATTGTCAGAACATCTTGAACTACATGATTTAAATCAGGATTCATCTTAAGAGGGCTTAAGACAGTACAGAAAACTGTCAGCTTCTTCTCCAGGGTCCTGACCAAAAGTCCTATTGGCCACTTATTCCACACAGCGTGTGCAAGAGGAGTCCAAAGAGAGATCTGGACAGGCAGAAAGTCCCTGTAACTGTTGACTGCACCGACATGTACCTCTCCTTAGTAGTCTCAGTATTTTTCCAATAGTTGGAACTGGAGCAAACTTTTTAGCTGCTATAGGAGCAGAGTGCTTGCAACACCTTGGCACTGCTGATCACTATTCCTCGCCACTAAGCTTCCCATTTTCATTTCTTATATATAGCCCCTTTAGGGCTATATTGACCTTGAGGGCTATTTGAAGGCTATATTGAGGGCTATATTGAGGGCTATATTGAGGGCTATATTGAGCTTTTAGGGCTATATTGACTTAAAATCATAGGCTTTTTTTCAATCAAATTTCATCTACTTCTTTACCACCTCCTTTGGGAAGGTATATCCTCCTTTGTGGATACAGGAGTTCCTCACCTTTTCTAGACTCTGTCCTTTTCCTCCATTTCCATGCCTCACAGGTGATACCACAACCTCCAAAAAATCTTTGCTCTTTTTTTTTTTTTTTTTCAAATTTACCAAGTCATTCTTGGAAATGACATAAAGCCTGCACCAACTGTCTAAATTTATATGCCTCCCTGCTTCCCTTGTAATGCTGTTTGTTCTCTGCTGCATAAGTTTATCAGTCTCATTCCCCTATGTATCAACAGCTGTGTTAACTTCTTTTTTGCTTTTTTTTTTCCCCTTCTACATCAGCAATAACAGAGAACTGAACTGTGCTGTGTTTAAGTGAAAAGAACTTAAAGTGTATTTTCTAGGCTTCATCCATCAATAATTTGTATATATAAAAAAGCACTTAGCTACATTAAATAAAAATCTTATTCTTTGATATATCTTTCATCTGTTGTCTCTTTCATGTCAAAGAGTCATTGGTAATAGTGACAGAAGAGAGGGCCAGGAAATCTCCAATGATTTTTTTTCACCTCAAATTGCTGATTCATTGAAAATGAAACATCACAAAAAGTCTGACTCTTGGTAATGTTCTCATAAAGCTCACAGCTTCTTTGCCAGTTCTGAAATACATGGCCTTATACCCTAGATACCAGTTTCTGTCATTCCACAAAAGGAATAATGATGACAGTTCCCAAGACTGTTTCTACACAGAATGTTAGCACTAATTTGTTAATTAGATTCCCAGGATACTCAGCTTCAACTGCCTAATGAATCATTTGCTTTAAGTATCAAACACGGGGTTTTGGTGTCTGGCAACCCTTGTGGCCTCAGCTCCTGACAGCCTGCCTGACGGCAGGGACTAGTGTTGAGTTCCTTTTCAATGATATCCCAAAGCTGTAACCAGAACTTGGTTCTTAATGTAGTAAGAGAAATTCTGTAGCTGTAATAAAAAATTACAAAAATGCTCACTTTTGTGCCAGAAGTGTCCTTTATATATATACATGAGAGAGAGCTGGGTGAGGCAGGTGGCAGAAGACTATTTAAGAGATAATAGCATGTTACTCAGCCACTTCTAATATTTGGCACTTAAATTACAGCACATGCAACACACCAGAAAGAGGATTCCAATTTATTCTCATTTTCAACTAAAAGCCAGCACATAAACTCTGCTTTTTCTATGACAACAGGCATGGGTCAATGCCAATGCTGCTTAATTATGTCTTTTATTAGCCTTGTGAGGCAAAACCAAGGCTCATGCCTGGTATAAATTGCCAGGCCATAACATGAGGTCACCCCAACCACTGGGTCTTCTACTGAGGCCTCAAAAAAAAAAAAAAAACTGCAAGGGGGGTGGATTTGCGCATACAGATGCCTATCATCTGCCCCATGAAAAGGCCGACTGCCATCACCAACCATGGATGGGAGGAGATGAGTCTGAATTTTGGAGGTTTGGGAGGGCAGCAGGACCAACGGTGTTGGGATGGACCCTCCAGAGGTGTCTGTGGGAGGTGAGGGGGCTCCTCTGCTTCCTCGGGAAGTGTCCATGGGAGATGAGGAGACTCCTCGGTGCGCTATGGACATGATGAGGGAGCTCTTTGGGCCCCTCAGGACACGTCTGTGGGGGATAAAGAGGCTCCTTGGGTCTCTATAATTGTGTCTGAAGGAGACAAAGGGGCTTCTTGGGCCCCTTGGGCCCCGTCCATGGGAGATGAGCCATCTCCCTGTCCCCTTTAGGATATGCCTGCAGCGGATGAGGTTCTTCTCAGGTACCTCGAGATGTGTCTGCAAGAGACAAGGGGGCACCTCAGCCCCTGTAGATTTGTGGGCAGGGGACGAGTGGGCTCCGTGGGCCCCTCAGGACGTGTCCCGGGGGACAAGGAGGGCCTCGGCTCCCTGTAGACATGACCGCAGGTGACATGGGCCACCCTCTGAAGGGAACTAGAGGTCCCGGTGCCCGCGGCGGGCGCCGGGCCGGGGGGGAGAGGAGCGACCGCCGCGGCGG